ACATTTTAGACATTGCTCCCCTGATCTTGTAAAAATTATTTCCTAATACATTTAAAATGCATACTCCAAGCATCCATGTATATAAGCCCAAAGACTTGGGATACTAGGCTTTTTGCTGTGTCATGAACTACGGTTTGCTTTGTTTCAGCTTGGCTCATCGCACCTCATGGTTATGTTAAACAAGGGGTCATTGACCCTTGTAATAAATTAACACATTATTCACATGTACACAGGAAAATAATTTTTACCTGCACTGTCTTGTGAATGTGTGAATGGCACATAAAATATAAGTGATTGCTGTGGCATCTCATCCACCTTTGCCTTTCTGAATAAATGCTGTCATTAATCTTCATGTATAAATGCTAGTGACAAATAGTACTTTTGGTAATAAATTCTCATAAAGGCAATTAGGTCACTTTTTAACCTTTATCCTGCATAAACAGGTACCAGATGGTTGATCTCTAACAACCTTTAAAGTATTTAGTTAATTATAAATTCCATCATCATCTACAATAAAAGTGTTATAATTATCATTAGGTGGTCCAAAAGAGATCCTCTTTAAAAAAAAAATTGCAACCAGAGTGATTTTTCTAAAACTGTCAAAATGTTAATTTCCTTTCAGTATGGCAAACTTGTACTTTCTGTACATTTTGTTTATAGATTATCCCTAGAAACCCATCTGGGATCTCTGAGATACTTTCCAAAACTCATTATAGCTAATTGGTTGCAGCTGATATTCCTTTCCTTCTGACAACATTGAGATTGCTAAGATGATGATATTGAACGCATACCCTACCATTGAGACATTTGTAAAAATGAACGCAAAGCATGTTCACTTGGAAGAGTTTTTTTTCCCTCAAGAAAACGTTAAAATATTAACACATTTAAACCAGTATCTTATACTGTAACTCCTTTTTCTTCTAGGTGTACTACTTCTCATTTGTGTATACATATTAACACACTAGATATTTAATAATAATTGTGCACACACGTTGGGCCTAATTTTCTTAAAGTGACCCTATCAGGAAAATAAAGTGCCTGAAAGCCCTCCCTCCAAAACTTGCCTCGCTTGCTGCCTGCACTGATGGACCCTGCTTTGTTGAGGAGAAATCTTCTATCCTCTGAAGTCTGCTGAAAAAAACAGCATTAACTAAAGTGTTGATTTTCTGGCCACCTTCTGCACTTAGTGGTTCCTCTCACCAACCTCTACTTCATTAGAGGACACAGTAGTGACACAGTATTGAAGTTAGCCTTCCTAAAATCGAGTGTTTGTGTCGTGCCTGCCTGTGTGTGGTCACTGCCCCTAGGTTCTCTCCGATTTCTACATCTGCAATTAATTATTAAAAGTAATTATTAAATAGAGCAGAGCATTTTTCCTAGTGGGTATTTCAACTAATTGTCCCATAAAATTATCTCGGAGAGTGTTCAAGAAGTGACGGGCCCTTCTTGAGTTAGCTGTTTCTGTTGCCCAATCGATATCCGTATAAATTAAAATCCGCCATAATTATGATATTGCCTTGCCTTCCCGCTAGTTCTATCTGTGACAATAGTTGAGTCTCCTCCTCCCCAATGTTCGGAGGCCTGTAGCATATCCCCACCAGTAATTTCTCTTTTTTTCCAATTATTTTCAATTCTATCCATAGCAGTTCAGCCTTATCCCCTCTCTCCTGTGCTATATCATCACACACATTCACTGCCAGGTCATTCCTGACCTACAGGCATATGCCTCCCACTCTTCCTTCTCTATTCCTTCGGAATAATGAATATTCACTGATAGTTGCTGCTCAGTCATGCGGGCCATCTAGCCAGGTTTCTGATATTTCCACTATGTTATATTCCTCTCTTTGTAGTATTAGTCCTAATTCCTCCAGTTTGTTTGTCAGGCTTCTAGCATAGGTGAACATGCATTTCAAGTTTTTACTTGTGCTTACAATTTTATTGTTGCCCCCAGTCTGGCTACTGCTGCGTGTGCCCAAATTTTGTGCATTTAATTTTAGTTTTACACACTATGATACTCCCCACACAATATACCTTAGAACATTTTTACTTTTAGTGCTTTTTTTCCCAGTCACCATTAATGATAACAGTATGCATTGCATGTCAATTTGTTCATAGAAGATTCCATTGATTACACCTAAAATTATTAGATCTAAAACCATTAGAAAAAAAATCAAAATTATATTTTAACCCCACCAACACCTAGATGGTGCATATTTAGACATAATGCACACTACAGTAAAACACAGTTCTTAGTAAATTCGCTGTATGTTTACCATCACCAGTGTACAATTATCTGTGCACATTATGGGTACATGGTAATGTAAGGATACAATCTGATAGTTTGCGCAGCTAACAAAGTGCTGCTATGTTTTTATATGCAGAAAGAATAGAAATAAACAAATGTACTTTAAATTGGTTGCTTTATTATACTTATATTCCCTTACAACATATATCCAGTATAGTCTAATTCATTGTGAGTTATTTATCATTCACATGATGTAACGCTGCAGTTCATTACCAGCACACTTTGCGATTGTGTGTGAGTCATTCCAGCCAAAGTTTCATCTTTCATAAATATACTGCTGAGCTAATCCAGGAATTTCCCCCTTTTTCAACTTGATCACTTTGACCTGCATATCTGAGGCCCACAGATGTCTTCAGGAGCGTAAATTTGGCAGCCACCTCTAAAACCTGGCTTGTTCACTCAGGACATAGACCACCTTTTTTATTCAAGCTGTGCCAAGATGCATGCATGCTTGGCTTGGTTAGTGTTTTCATTTACTGCCCATGAATGAGTGTTCATGTCAAGATTACTTTGTCTGCATACCATGATAGCTACATATTAAAATGACAACAGTTTTGGTAAATGAATACGATGGAGTTAGCATACACTTTAGTATATGAACTGTCTTTATACCTTCAGTAAATCAACCAGTGTTTGTGTGTGTGTGCATACCTGCATATCACCCATTTTTCTTTACAGTGCTGTGAAACCCGTAATTAACCACTTCCCGTCCGGGGCAATTTCTTAATTTTTGCACGCACGTGATAAAATCTGAATTTTTGTCTAGAAAACAGCTTAAAAACCCAAAACAATGATGTATTTTCTGACAGCAGAGGCACTATAGAATAAAAAAAATGCTAGTTGAAGTTTATTATTTCGCACGATATATGTTTATCAAACCAATATTTTTAGGGTAAATACACTAAAATGATTTTCAGGGTACGCAAACAGAATATAATACCCAATTTTTTGGTAAAATATAACAGATGAGATCATGTCGGGTAAATAGATACCAAACATGTCAAGCCTTAAAATTGTGTGCGCCCCTGAAATGCCATAAAACTACTGTACTGGACCTGAGCATAGGGGCGCTTTAAAAGCCTTTACTGCATATTGATTTAGCGTTAACAGTGAGTGATCGCCCTTGAGTTGTTGCTCTCATTTATCCTTTTTTGGCAGAATTTTTTTATTCTATAGTTATTTATATGGTTCTAGTGACTAACTCTAGTCCCAGACCAAAATTGTGATTCGTGATTATCCATAACTTTAGCAACTAGTCATTATTATCATGCTAATGTTTACTGTCTGTTGCCCTGCTGGTTATGTGTGTTAATGGTTTGTTTTATATATATATTTTAACTGATAACAATAAGTTGATAATGGCAACTTTGGTATTGGACCTTTGTTACTTTTATGTCCAGTAGTTTTAAGGTACAATTGTATTATAATGAATTATTATTGTGGATAGATAGATAGACAGATAGATAGATAGATGGATAGATATGACATTATTGTATTTGTAATTTGTAAAATATTTTGTAGAAAAGGGGGCTTTGCACAGAAATAAAAATATGGAACTGTAAAATTCGTATCCCAGACAGGGCCTTAAACTGACATTAAAGGCAACAAATTGCTGCTGTAAACACTTACCTTTTTTGATGCCTCTTGCTGCAATCATCCTTTTCCTTCCACAAGTTTCTGATAGTCTCTGATCCACCGCAGGCTCCACGTGTCCCACGGTGTCTGTCCGATGTGCGCGCGCCCAGCTGCATCCATTGAGCTTTAGTGTCTGTTTTCTCCCCTCTCCTTTACTGCGCATGCACTCGCACACTTCTTCTTCACAGCCATTCGAGAGCTGGGAGTGCTTCAGCCAGGAGCGAGCGGCACTGGAACAGGTAAGTAATTAGGAATTTGCATATTTTTTATTTATTTTTTAATCATGGGGCATACATCTACTGCTCGCTAGCAGTAGATATATGCCAAAAAGTAAGAGACTTTAATTATACTTTAACTACAGCCATAATAGCCATTGAAGCCCTGTCAGCATCATTCAGGGAGTTCTCACTATATAAATTTGTATTATAAACAAATTAGATCATATCTATGGAAGCAATTGAAAAAGCGCCAATTTTTCAAGATATCACTGAGATGACTCCTGCAAGGTATACTGCTTATACCCGTTCCAATTCACAGCCTTCATCACAAATAATAGGAATGGTTACCAAGTGGTTCTTAGCTGTATTCAAAACTGTCAAGAATTATTTCAGTGCAATTTGTTTAAGTTTTTTTAATATAAGATGAATTGTTATTTACATAATTTGAATTGCACTTTGTCACTGACATATTTTTCATATTTTTATTTTAAATAATTGGTTGATCAAGACAAATAGCATAATTTTTATCAACCTTATCACATTGGTCCTTCTCTAAAATTCAACAGCTGTTTGACATATTACTGAACTATTCTTGACTACAAGCAGGCAGATTATAGAGTAAACTATGCATCGTGAACTTAGTTACTGTATGCTAAGAACTAAATTTATGGTGGTCACCATGTTAATCGTGGATGAATGGAAACCACATTTGTAGCCTATGTGATTCAATAATTAGTAATGTTGGTAAATCATTTCCTTTCTCTATGATGTTCAAGTTTGTTTAACAATGTCAGTGCCAATTTAATATATTTTCAATAATACTTCATTTTGTTGTATTACAGATATTAATGAATGCTATATGCGAGGTGTATGTCCGAATGGGGACTGTTTAAATACCGTAGGCAGCTATAGGTGCACCTGCAAGCAAGGGTTTGTTCCTGATCCTACATATTCATCTTGTGTTGGTAAGAATATGAGTTCCTTTCACTGTTTACCTTCTACTAGTGTACTCACTAGGAAAAAGCTGGAATACTTGGTGGAATATGAAAAATTAATTTTCTCTTCTGTTCCTTCCATTGTTGAGCATTCCAACACTGAGCACTAAATAAAAGCTAGTTATGATAGACTGTAAATGTTCTTGTAATAGTACCACAAGGAAGTGAAGCATCCTTTTTTCCATCTAAAAATTAAAAAAAACAGGTAAATGCTATATATACAAATGTATTATCTACCAAGAAACCTTGTCACAATTTAATTAAATTTTTTTTACTCCTAAAGCTAAGAAATGTGATCTCTTAGGGTTCTATTCACAAAGAAGCCGAAGGATCTACCCGTAGCTTCGGCTGATCCTTCGGCTAGCTTCGGCCCCAGCACCCCTTCGGTTCAGTAAAACCGAATGGCTGCTTTACGGGCTACTCACTATAGCCAGTACAGCTCCCGAAGTCGGCCGGGCAGCTCAGCCGAGCCAATGGCATATGCTTCGGCTTGACTGAGCCGAGGTGAAAGCCGAAGATGGCCGAGCTCACTTCGCTTCAGGTCGGTCATTTACTCGGCTGCCTACGGCAGCTTAGTGAATAGACCCCTTAATGTTGCAGGTGCCTCACCCACAAATGTATTCAGTCAGCATACTTTGTGAACTTTGTGTTCTGGCAGGTAGTTCCTGTCACCAACTGTATCACATTTTCCTGAGTTTTCTAAATTTCATTCATATTTCTTTGGGTGCAAAAACCCTCTTTAATAGGTGAGCAAGATAGATTTACTTAAAGTACAATATTAAGTAATATATTTTGGCAAGCGTAGTACTATGGTTTTGTGAAAGGAGTTTATGTGGCAAGTGACCAAGATAAAATTATATGTACTCTGTCAATGACAGTAATTTGCACCTTCTACATTGGCAAGTCTCCAGTTCCTATCCTTTTTCAAGTCTTATTTCTCTATCCTCAACTATATGTAGAATATGTGTGACATGATGTGGACGGGTCAGGTTCATATAGATAAACACAGAAACAGAAGACAGTCCCAAACCCCAATTTTAAACGTTTAAATCATATATCTATCTGTTCCAGATATTTTATGCAGGAACATTTTTTAGTATACTTTTCCTTTCAACACCTGGCAGCCGAGTAGTAAAATTTTTGTAGCACAGACAAGCACATCCGTGCTTGAGTTAATAGGAATTTGTTATTTTGCTTCTGATATGCATTTGTGAAGCAGTGTGAAAAGATTTAGAAGGCAGTGTTTCAATTTACATTTAGATTTCATGGGGTGGGATTTCTTTGCTTCTAGTAAACCCAGTGTATCCTATTCACCATCTGAAATGCTTTTCTTCCCCTATAAAATTCACTGAGAAGCTCGGTATGTAAAGTGCTGCATAAATTGTCGGTGCTATCAAAATGCTTATAATAAATAAATAAGCTTTTATTTACTACATTGTTTTAATAAAGATCCTACTCTGATTTTTATAGGCTGACAAATGAATTGCATATGAACACTCCAACCTTAGGTTGGCAGTGTTCAATTGCAGACTGAAGGCTTTAAATTTTTTTTGAGTAAACTCTCCAGCCTGCATTTGAATTTCATAGATGACATGGTGATCACATGATAGGGTCTTGATAGGATGGAGCCGGCATCCCAGGCAATAAGGATGATTGCCCGGGAAGCTGGCTCCATGCTACCGGAAGTACCGGTATCGGTACTCGGTATCTGCAAGTACCGAAATATAAATATCGGCACTTGTACTGGATACTGGAAAAGCGTTATCGGTGCATCCCTACTTTTTATGACCCCCCACACACACAGACATACAGACACGCTTACCTGCGGCTGCGCGTCTCCTCTGCTGGGATTAGGAAGATACTCGGCATTCCTTGAACTTCCTGGTCCTGGTGGAGGATACTGAGGGCATTGGCTCCTTCATTAATGAAACTGTGACTGTAC